TGCACATCGATGTTTTCGAACGAAAGAAAAGACGTCGTGCGTCTGGCATCATAAAGACTTATTTATCCGGTTAAAAGAGAAAATAGTATGGTTACAAATAGCATTGTGTAGAAATCCTCTAAACGAGCAACATCAATCATTAGAAAATTATTTTCAATTTCTACTCTCGATAATACAATACCAAACAAAAGTTTATTATATTAAATGATTATTAATGATCAATTGGAAAACGATTGACGACCCCATTTTTTTTTTTTTATTTTTTTTATTAAATTGTAGAAAAATTTAATATATTATCTTTCTTTTTAATGCAGTATAAAGGGTTGCCTATCTTTTGGCGCAAAAATATAAACATAACATATTAAACATTTTTAACATATGATAATTAATGATAAATTGTTATTCTACATTTATTAATATATTTAAACATAATTTTTGAGAATTCAATTTTTTAATTAAATTATATGAAAATTTAGTAATGTATATAATATATTATTTTTTATTTTAAATGTAGTATAAAAGGTTTTGACTATTTTCTTTAAAATATTAAACAGTTTTAACTATGCTAATCAATTTTGTTTTTTTTTTATTGTATATGGATAATTAATTATAAATTATAATTCTACATTTATTAATATATTTGAACACAATTTTTGAGAACTCATTTTTTAATTAAATTATATAAAAATTTAATATTATATATATATATATAATATATTATTTTTGTTTCTAAATGCAGTATAAAAGGTTGCATATCTTCTCTAAAATATTAAACATTTTTAATCATGCTAATTTTGCTTTGTTACTATATATAATAATTAATAATAAATTGTTATTCTATTATACATTTATAATTATATATTTTTAAATGTAATTATTATTTTTATTTATTATATTAATTAATTTATTAACAAACGTTTATTTTCTTGTTGTTTCAGAGATACCGAAGAATGAATATAATAATAAGAATCAATCGACAGGGAATAGTCCAATAAAAGTTGAACTACAAAACAACATGGACAGGTAAAAACTTATATCTTTATCTTGTTTAAATAATAAATTTATCAATTTATTAATAACAATAATAATAATAATAATAATATTACAATATTTCTAATCATAAGTGTATATCAAAGAAACAAATCGAATGAACGAAATGAAACAATCTAAATTAATAATTTATAATTTAATTTGAAAAAGAAAATGTTTATAAATTTTCGAATTAACAGTTAAAAAATTAATAAACAATCATTAATAAATATTAAATCGATAATGGTTTAATCATAAATAGTTTTAGCTTTAGTTAGCTTTATATAATAAATAATTAAAGCATTAATAGTTTTCAATGTGTAGCTAATATTAATATTATTTTATTATATAATAATATTATAAATTATATTATTAAATTTTTAATTTTTTTTATTTTTTTTTTTTTTTGATAAAAAAACAAAATAAAAATGTATAATATGTTACCAAAAAAAGAAAAAAATCAAAAGTTTAAATAACTCTACTTATAACTCGATTTAATATATTAAAAATGTTATAATAAATAATAAATAAAAATTATTCAAAATACGATATATGAAAGAAAATTTCCAAGAAGAATTTTCAAGAAATGAGAAAATATTGTTAACTGAAAAAAAAAATTATAAAAGCGTGCCATAAGATTAAGGACTATCGGAACGAATGAACCGTAACGATACAAAGTATCCTTGCTTTCTTCTCATACCTATATATACATACATATATATATATATATATATATATATATATATATATATATATATATATATATATATATATATATTCTTTTTCCTTCTTCTTTTCCCCTTCTTCGTACAGAAGCAAAATTTGACAGTGTCGTGAATCATCCATACAAACGAGTAACACAAGCACAATGATTCGATGTTAGAACGAAAATTCACGTCTCTTATACGTCCGTGTGTCGTGTTATTTGAAAAATAAAATCAAATAAAATAAGAAACGAGAAAAAGTAAGAAAGAAAATAAAAGAGGAATGGTAAGGTAAGGTGAGGAAAGGTTGGGAAGGAGGGGAAAGGTGAAGAACAACTTTCTTAGCCGTGAAAAATCATAACGAATCCTTACGGATGTTCTTTTATTATTTTTATACGCACGGTCGTCACGGATCCTTGAATTAGATGGATGGACTGTAACGAAATGATTATTTTCTTTCATTTTCTTGTGAAAAAAAAAAAATAATAATAATAATAATAATCCTCGAGTTTATAAACTTAAAAAGGTAACTTTTGCATATGCACGAACAAAAATAACGAACTATTATTATATTTTTTCGCATCGGTTATGAATAGAAGAATAAGAAAGAAGAAGGTAAAAGGGGAAAAGAAAAAATAGAAATACCTCCCCAAGGTATTGCTGTCAATTTTTACAAATGATCGGAATGATCGATCCGCCCTTTTTTATTTTTTTTTTTTTTTATTTCCTTGTCTCTTCTTTCTTTTTCTTTTTTTTTTTTTTCTATTTCTGTTGGACACGTATTTTTGATAGCTAAACAATCGAAGAATACAATTCTTTTACTACGATCTATATTCCCATGATAATTTCATATTTTTCTTATTCTATTTTAAGTCAAACAACTAAATTATTGATACAATAAAATATACATATATATATTTTCCTTTGTATATTCCTGTTGGACACGTATTTTTGATATTTTGATAGGTGTACAATCAAAGAATACAATTCTTTTACCACAATCTATATTCCCATGATAATTTTATATTTTTCATATTCTATTTTCAATCAAACAACTAAATGATTGATACAATAAAATATATACATTTATATATGGAAATAAAAAAGGGTTGAACTTCGTTCTTCTTGTCGTATTGCCTTCTCTTTTTTTTTTTTCTTTTTTAAGTTAGAAAAATAAACTTTGACGCGATGGAATAAAATAAAACCGAAAGAAAGAAAGAAAAAAAAGATTGATCGAGGATTATTTATTCCTATTTACCTTTTTCTGCATCTTCTTTATTTATTTTTTTTTTCTTCAACTTTCTTTACTTCTTTTTCTTCAAATAACAAGATAAATTCTTATCCAAGAAATATAAAAAAAAAAAAATACTTAATCGATAATGTATTTCTATACAACTTAAATGTTTCCCTTCAACGAGGTATAAAAGTTCAATTTTGGTTAACCAAAATACAAAAAAGAAATACCCCCAAAAAAATAAGAAATAAAGAAGAAAATGGTGTAATGTATAGTTGTATAAGTTAAGAAAAGGAAAGGGTGTTAAAAGGAAGACACAAGATGCACATTCTCAAAGAAGAAGAAGAAGGTAAAGGGTTTCTCGTTGTTGTTTCCTACACTACACCCTTCGCTTTTCTTCGTTTTCCATTATACAACGTTTGGAAGGAAAACAAACAAAGTACTACTATAATATATATATACACTACCTTTTCGCGAATCTATGGGAAACCGTGCACCTGTCTTTCTCTCTTTAAATATTTTCATTAACCATTTGTGAGTTACACGAAAGATCTTCTTTGCGGTAATAATATATGTTTTTCACTTAAGAGTTAAATATACGACCCTTTAAAAAAAAATACAATGTTAAGTTAAGACCAACCGAATAGAATAAAAATACTAGAACCTTTCCAAAACCATCTCCCCTTCCTTACTCCTTCTATCCACCCTTTCAACCATTCACTTACTCATTTATTCACTTATTCATTCATTCATTCATTCACTCATTTATTCCTATCTCTCATTTCGTTTATTTCTCTCTGTAAATTCTTCCTTCTTCCTTTCATCCCTTTATTCTCCTTCTTCTCCTTTCTAACAAACCCCTTCCATCCATCCACCAACCTCATCTGTCCTTGTTACTTCTCCTATCTCTGTCTGTCTTTAATTCTTGTTGCTCTTTCGTTTCTAAGCATCATTAATAGTACTTATATGGAGAATATAATATTTGGAGAACGTACTCAATGTTAATAATACGATATTTCACCAATTAAATCGAGTCTATCGTGAAACTGAGCAATTTCGTAATTCGAAGTTTGTTGCCAAAGAGATAATATACTTATATGTTTGTATATATGTGTATAAGGATTTTTATTTCAGTGTATGAATGTTTCAATTTATTATATATGTATATTAATATATACAGGGTGATTCACCTGCTTCAATAGCTCCGAAAGTATAATTGCACCTGAAAAGTGAATTAAAACAAAGCTGCTTAAAAAATTCAGAACTACAATTTAACATTAATATTTTTCTACTAAGTTGAGTTATTTTTGAGATTAATTGGTTAACTTTGTTTTTTTAAATACAATGTTATATTTTAATACTTATTTTCGGATAACGGCTCTCAAGACAAATATATATTACATATGTGTTTTAAAATGAAACAAAAAATACAAATTTCAATTCTTTGATTTACAGAGTACCTTTACCTTACGGTCACGCCCCATCGATGATCCCGATGAGGAGACAAAGCATTAGATGCCATTTCCGCAAGGGAGTTGATTGGTGTAGCTGGAAACTATTTGCCATAATTTCAGTTACGCTAACCTTTTGTCTGATAGCAGCCCTAGTATTTGTCGCAGGTTTGTTTCATAATTGAATTTAGATTATTTTGAAAAAAAAAAGAAAAATATATTCTAATCACAACATTTCAAACATCTTGTTATTTTTGATTAACATCAAAAATTCCAGCCCCTTATAAATCGTGATTTTGTTTTCATCGTCATCAATGAAAACAAAAAACAAAAAACAAAATAAATCTAAACAATAATATGAAAAATAATGAAACACAATTAATATTTAAATATAATTTACAGCCTCGTATGTAGTAACCTGTCCTTATCAAAGAACACAACCGTGCGCAGTGTTAATCGGTGACAACATAGATGCTAAATCAGTGACGAACGAGTCTAACAAAACATCAACGTCTACGACATCGACGTCATCACAATCCGGTAGTGGTAGAACGAGACAACAAACATCACCAGGAGGTAATACCAATCCCTGGAATAATATATTAAATCGTTTTGTGTATTCACGTAAACGTAGAAACGTTGAATTTAATAATCAGCATGCAAGAAGTAGTTTGTTATCCTCCAACACGTCTTCCTCGATTGCCAATCCTTTAAATTCTTCCAATTTAATACAAATGGAAGAATCCGGGGTAGCATCTAGCACCACCACCACCACCAACACATCATTCACCAATGTATTGCATGAAAATAATAATAATAATCAGGATATGGTTGTGCATGAAACGGATTACTCAAAAGTATCTAACCTCAAAAATGAAAAATCGAACGATCATTTGGGAATCCTTGAAAATACACAGTTATATACAACTGTGATTCCTGATGGAACAATTGTCACTGACGACTTGTCATCATTCGATATTGTTGCTGCTAATCATTCGCATAACTATACCACAAATGTTAATAACGAATTAGTAACCGCTAAATCTACGGTGTCTACCGATTCTGATTCTTCTTATTCTTCTTCCACTATATCTGAAAAATCTTCCTTATCACAAATCGAGGGAAAAGATTTAAACGATGAATCTTATTCAATTTCACCTAAGCAGAATGATGAAACGAATAACAACGAGAACAATACGAGTATTGAAAATAATCAAGAAGATTTTCTACAAGTACCACCGATAATACATGAAAATGTAATATCAATGAACGTTGAAAATTTGTTGGACGATAATATGGTATCTGTAATGTTAGAAAATAGTACTGTAATGTTTAAAGGTAAGGTAGATTCAAGTATTGGCAGTAGTACTATACTTTCTGACACCGTTGCTACCCCAGGAAATCGATCGTCTAAAGTAAATAGCTTTAGCACGGATATGGGCAACGATCTTGAAGAATACGTAGGTGTTGAAAGTAGTAGTAGTGCTTCTCTAGAGTTATCTACTACTACTACTACTATTACTCCTAGTAGTATCATAGATATAGAAGAAGAAAACGAGAACGGCACAGAAACGTCCTCGATTCGAGCCAACGATTTTAATTGGAACGAGACGAGTACTACTACTATTAAAGAAGAAGAAGAAGAAGAAGCAGAAGAAGAAGAAGAAGTAACAGAAAAAAATACAAAAAATGAGATCACTCTAATCGATCGAACTAACGAACGTGAGAATAGTTCGATTGTATTAAAACCTCATTCGTTGTTTATGGAAATGAATAAAAATAATTTTAACGAATCTGATGATAATAATAATAATAATAATAATAATCAAGAAAAAGAACATCCTAATGTTTCCAGCGTTGTTAAAGAGACACGAGAATTGTTTCATGAAGATTCATCGTCATCCTCATCTTCATCGTCATATTCTTCCTCCGAATTTATTGAAAGTCCTGTTGAACCGATCAAAGAAAAATCTGAAGAACTTCAACGTGATTATCCGATACCGATTTATACTTACGGACAAGATGAGGTTGAGATAGTTAAATTAAATCAAAATTCTAAACCCGATAACAATATTAAAAATACAAAAACAATGTACAAATCAATAGACAACGTCGATAGGACAACTGACATATTAAATAACGAAGTAAGAACATTGAACAAGGATCATCATCGATCATTGGATCGTCAGAAGGATGATCTACAAATTATCATGCGTGAGGGTAGCGATGAAGAATTTTTGCGCAAATTTGAGGAACAATTTTACAAAGAGGAATCATCTGAAATAACTGAACAAGATAAATCTAAAGAACAAGAACAACAGGTTCATGAAGAAGTAAAAAGAAAAGAAGATAACAATAATAATAAGATGCATGAAAATTCGCATGATTCATCAAACAATGCTTTCAATTCGAACACAAAGCTTCCGATAGTTCAGCACGTGCAGATAATCGAAGTACCGGTTGAACGCGATCATCGTTCATCGTCATCATCATCGTCATCCTCATCATCATCGTCATCGAACCATCGAGTACTCGTAAACGTGACCATAGCAAACGGAGACTCATCATCGGGTGCTTCTCAACCTCTCTACGTGCTTTCGGTTTCCGTGCCAATGGAAATCGAACCTGAAAATCATTCGGTAAATGTTAACCAAGTTAAAAAAACATCACCGATCAACTCACAAACTGATAATAACAATAACAATAATAATAATAATAATAACAAAATAATAGAAAATATCGTTAACGTAGTCGAACCAATCAACATTGTTCATCTACCACCCCCACCACAACCGCCAACATCACCCCCACCACCAATTTGGGGTGGCGGTGAATGTGAATGTTCTTGTCCTTGCATGGACTCATCGTCTGACGAATGGGACAATTTTTCAGCCATCGACGATACTAATCTCATCTTCGAGCAGGATTTTGATCAACAGGAGAAAAAGGACAATTCCAGTTCAAACGATGTTACATCCAATAATGATAATGATATCAAAAATGATTGGGTGGAGATGAATAATGAAAGGATTGACAATTTGACGACACGTTTTAAAGAAACTACTGTAGATAGTACAACCATAAGTTTAGAAGATTATTATACAGAGGAGGACACGGAATCTACGAGCGAGTCCTCCTCAACTTCAGAACCAGAAACAACTAGCAACGATGTTGTCACGTGTTCTACAACCACTACACTACCCCCAGAGCCTATTATATTAATTCTAGAAGGTGAGGCCCCGTTTACTTTCTTCCTTTCTTTTTTTCTTTCTTTCTCTTTCTCTACTCTATCTCTCTTTCTATCTTTTTATCTTTTTATCTTTCTTTTATTTTTCAAATTCTTATCTTCTCTATCGCTAATGCTTTAGCTTGTTTTTTGCTTATCCTAAACACGTAGTAGTATTACCAACAAGTATTTGTAACTGTATAGTTGTATGGTTATGGGGTTTTTTTGTTTTTTTTTTTTTTTCCATAGTAGATCCGTAGTTAAATATTTAGAATACCTGTTTTAATATGCATGGTGTGATTTGTGTGTGTGTGTGTGTGTGTGTGTGTGTGATTTCAGTGTTTTTTTTTTAATAATATCTCTGTAATAACTGTTAGAATTAGAACAAATCATTTTATAGGTTTTTAAATATGTGTCAAACATTTTTGATATCAACGATTCCAACAGTGTGACAAACAATTGAAATGAAAAAAAAAAAAAACAAATTGAAAAGGATGAAGAAGACACGAGTTCATTGCTAAATTCGCATAGCATCGAAGGCCTAAGCTGTTTGTTATTTTTTAAATTATTTTTTTCTAATTTGTTTCAAATTTTTTGAGATAAAAAAAAAAGAAATTAAAATCGTCGTGAAAAATTTCACAATGCAATTTTTTAATAACTTTTTCTTTCATACCAAATTCACAGGTGCAAGAACATTTCCTGCAAGGTCGTTCCCACCAGATGGTACTACTTTTGCACAAGTTGGACTTGGTCAAAAGCTTAGCAAAGAAATTCAACCATACAGCTATTGGAATATGCAATTTTATCAATCGGAAGCTGCCTATGTTCGTTTTGACTATAACATACCACGTGGTGCTAGTATTGGTGTCTATGCAAGAAGAAACGCATTACCAACGCACACGCAATACGACCTACTTGAAGTACTAAGTGGATTCAAAGCCCGGACCACCAGGGCGTCACATGTTAGTGTTATTGTATATTCTGATCCCCAGTTTTTTTTTGTCTGCTCTTCTGCTTCTTTTTACTTGATTTATTTATTTTATCCTCCTAAAACCCTCTCTCACTCTGTGCTTAAAGTTTATTTCTTTCTCAAGTTTTACGAGTTACGTATTTTATTTCATTCTTAAAGAACACGTAAAATAACGTCTCACAATACTCCCTTTTTATTTTATACCTAATTTCTTCTTTTTTCTTGTTTCCCCCCCCCCTCAAACCCGTTCGAGATGATTTAACAATAATTTAAAAAATTAAATTGTTTAAAAAAAAGTTGTGTCTATTTGTTTGATCAATAAGTCAATATAAAATAATATTAGCTTATTTAACACTAGATTTACAGATATTTTGTTCATTATTTTGTTAATGATTTACAATTGTTTGAATGAAGGGTTGAATAGAAGGGGATGAATTAATATTTATGTATATATTTCATTATTTAATTAAAAACCAACATAAGTTTTTAAAAAATAATAAATATACTAACTAAATTTTGATAATGAGTCATATTGGTTCAGTTCGTAAATCTAGTGTTAATAAATACAGTATAAACAATTAATATAATTAACAATTATGGTAATAATCGTGACATAAATCGTAAGTAACATTTATAATTATTTTTTATAGCCGTCAATAAAGAAAGAAGTGACTCATTATATGGAACCTGGTCACTGGTTTCTTTCATTGTACAACGACGATGGTGACCCACAAGAAGTTTCCTTCATCGCTGTGATAGCCGAAGATATGACGCATAATTGTCCTAATGGTTGCAGCGGTAAAGGTGAATGTCTTCTTGGTCATTGCCAATGTAATCCTGGTTTTGGTGGTGAAGATTGCAGTGAAAGCGTTTGTCCAGTACTTTGCAGTCAACGAGGTAAATTATTTTCGTTTTTACTATTATTCATTTAATTAGTAAATAAAAATATATTATAAATAATATTAATTTTCAAGTGTTACTAAAATAGTTAACCTGTAAATTATTTTGCTTATGACAAAAACACCACTTGTGGTTTCATATATTTTTAATTATTTTATATTATTATGATTATAAATATATTATTTTAATTATAAAATATAAATATGTATATTTTAAATAATATTATTGTAATATTTTTAAATTACTAAAATAGTTTCCCTGTAAATCATTTTTTTTTTTATAACATAAACACCACTCGCCGTGGTTCTAAGTTAAATAATATATATATATTTTTTTTTAAATATTACTAATATTAATAATGTACTAATATTACTAATATAATAATATTAAATAAATTTTATTATATATATATATATTTATGTATAATATATATTATATTTATTAATATTGATGTAACTGATATTATTAATATTAGAATGAACCAAAATTTAATCCTTATTTTAAAATTAATATTTCCAAAAATAAATTTTAACAAAACCAATCTATTATTCAATTTCAAACTAAAGTATCAACACAATAAATGCACAAACTTTTGATTCACCCTAATAAAACAAATAAATGTTTAATACATACATATATGTTTGTTCGATTTTAGGTGAATACATAAACGGCGAGTGTCAGTGTAACCCTGGTTGGAAAGGGAAAGAGTGTTCCCTTAGGCACGACGAATGTGAGGTACCAGATTGCAACGGTCACGGACATTGCACCAACGGAAAATGCAATTGCGTTCGCGGTTACAAAGGGAAGTTCTGCGAGGAGGTGGATTGTCCACATCCGACGTGCTCGGGTCATGGTTTCTGCGCCGAGGGAACGTGTATTTGTAAGAAGGGATGGAAGGGCGCAGATTGTAGCCAGATGGATAAGGAAGCCCTACAGTGTCTACCAGATTGTAGCGGCCATGGAAACTTCGATTTAGAAACTCAAACTTGTTTATGCGAGCCTATGTGGTCTGGTGATGATTGTTCTAAAGGTAAACTTTTTGTTTATACTCTTTCAAATATTTTTAAACAATTAATTATATGCCTGTGTGTGTGTGTATATATGTTTGTTTGAAAATATTAGGGTGAACATACATACAGTTTTGATAATTAATATTTTCAAAATAAATGTTACAAAAACAATGCATTATGCAATTTGTAATACAATAATTGTTTCACCCTAATAATTATTATGATTTTAAAATTGATTATAATGAATATTGAAATTGAAATTTCTCAGAATTATGCGATTTGGATTGCGGTCCTCATGGTCATTGCGTAGACAACGCCTGCGATTGTTTGCCCGGTTGGTCAGGTGAACTTTGCAATTTGAAACAATGCGATCCACGTTGCAACGAACACGGACAGTGCAAAAATGGCACGTGTTTATGCGTAACTGGTTGGAACGGTATACATTGTACGATGGAAGCGTGTCCAAATGCCTGTTCAAATCATGGACAGTGCAGGGTCACCTATTATGGTCAATGGGAGTGCCGTTGTTACGATGGTTGGGATGGCAAGGATTGCAGTGTTCCTCTTGAACAAAATTGTGACGACGGACGAGACAATGACAAAGGTATTACAAATTAATTATGTCATTATCATATTGTTATATTTTTTTACCAAGATTTTTGTTAAATAATTTTGTCTTTTTTTTCTTGTTAATTGTTTATTTTATTCAAATCTTTAGTTAAAGTAAATATTTTTTGTCAAATTTATTATCAATGTTAGTAGGATTTTTGGAAATAATTTTGAGAATAATTTGTTTGGAAAATTTAATAATATATTCAAAGTAATTTTAGAAAAATTCAAATTATAACACGTTGGATTTACTTAGGGATAGTTTTTAAATTCTTTTGTAAAAATGTTAATTATTTTTAACTTTAATAATACAATTTACAACACAAACTATTTATATAAGAACTATTTATGCAATTTTCTATAATATATAAATTAATTTGTATTTTTAAAATTAATATATAAATTAACTATATCTTATATATAATTAAATATTACAAATTACTTTAAAAATTTAATAACAAAGAAATAATAAAATTCAGGGTCTCATGTAACATACTTTAGTACAAAATGACATTTTCTAGGAAACCTATCTACCGTGTTATAAGAAGTTTACCTGTAAATGTTATTACATATCTAATATTTTATAACATATATACCTGTATACGTTAATTCATTGATTGATAGGATCTAATGAATTCTAATGAAAAAAAAAAAAAAAAAAACAAAAAAAAATGATTAATAATATTTTAGACGGTCTCGTTGATTGTGCCGATCCTGAGTGCTGTTCGAATCATCTATGCCGAAATAGTCAGCTTTGCGTGTCGGCACCACAACCGATCGATATACTTCTACGAAAGCAACCACCGGCAGTAACTGCATCCTTCTTCGAAAGGATGAAATTTCTAATAGACGAGGGCAGTTTACAAAACTATGCTCGTCAAGAAACATTCAACGAGAGGTGAGTGTTTTTTTTTTTTTATTTCTCTTATTATTTATATATCTTTTTTTTTTCTTTTTTTTTCTCGTTTTGTCCAACATCAATGTTTAATAAATATATCACATATATATATTTTTTTCTATATATATGTATATATATATATAATTAAATATATATATATATATATATGTATATTATACTAATCGTTCACCCGATCGTGACCGTACGTGATCGTCGTCGTCCTTGTCCGTTTTACGTCAAATCTCGTCTATAGTTACTTTTTTTTATTGTATTTTTTTTATTTTAAATATATCCCCCACTTCCCATCGCGATTATTTATATTTAAAAAAAAAAGAATTTTCACAAATGATATTAAAAAAAAAAAAAAATATTAATAATCGATATCTTATTATACACGTTCGCCGTATTAAAATTTGTCCGTCCTGAAACTCGATGTTGCGTGCAGTTTTTTTACGTCTATTTATATCTCATTAAGGAAACGTTCACGACACGACCGTTGACACGTGTATCTTATAAATATACATATGTATTTGTCTCATGTGTGTACATGAGTACACACATACTCATGTGTGTATATGTATACTACGTATTTCAAAAAATACATGTGTGTATATTATAATATACCCGTTTAAACAATACAGACACTAAATGACTTATACATAGATATGATATATACTCTGCGTTGTTGTGACCCGTGTGAAATCACATCCCAACAGTTTTATACATATGTTTTGTACGTACGTGTGCGCGAGCGTGTGACCTGCACCAATATAACCAACACCTTATATCTTTCTAATTCTATTCCTCTACCTAAATCTCATTCTATTTCTATAATATACACCTTACTTTTCTTGTATCAATTTGTTTCTTTCTCTCTCTCTCTCTCTCTCTCTCTCTCTCTCGCCCTCTTTTCCTATATCGAGCGATTTGTTAATTTTATTATTGATGAATTATTTATTTTTTTTAATTTATCATTAATCGTGTGTCGTTAGAATTTGATTGGTAAAGTTGCTAACACGTAAATAAAAATATATACATATAAATATTTTATATAATTTATATTTATATATATATATATATATATATTTATATATTTTAACAATTTCATATATATTAATAATTATAAAATTTAATAATTAATAATTAAAAAATATATATATATATAGTTTGTTATATAAATAGTATATATAAAGTTGTATACAGTTATATAAAGTTGTTATATAAATTCCAAATAAATAAATATATATATATATATATAAAATAAATTATTAAATAATATTTGTTTAATTGAAAATTATTATTTTACAAATTTATTTTGCATAAAATATAAATTATCAAATCAAATTTTTATCAATGAATTGTGACATGTTTTGATATTATATATTATATATTATATATTATATATATATATGTATATATATGTATATAAAAAAAAAATTAATATATAACAAAAAAAAATATATTATAACACAAGTAATAGGAAAAAATAATTTTTTGCTTTTTTTTTTTTTTAAATTAATAAATCGCTCGTTAAATTCCAAAATCTTTTACAACCAATCAAACTTCCAATTCTATTTTCTCTCACCTTTTACAACCAATCAAACTTCCAATTCTTTTTTTTCCCGCTCTTTTCAGACGTCTTAATCCTAACCTAAAAAATCGTTCCTTACAAAATCTCTCGATTCATATCGATATATTGTCAAAAGTTCGTCCTTTTAATCGTCGTCTCATGTCCGTCCGAGCAAAATTCGTGTGAATGTGAATATGTGTTCATTATCAACCAAAAAAAAAAAAGAAAAAAAATAGGAATAAATTAAAATAAAATACAGTAAAATAAAACGAAATAAAATAAATAATTAAAAAGTAAAAATAATAAAGAAACATCTCTCAACGAATTTTTTTTTGTTTTTACTACGATAGAAAATTATTAAATGAAGGTACCGAACAAACCGAACAAAACGGAACGAAATCAAATCGAATTAAAAAAAAAACACACACACACACAAAAAGACTTTTAATATCATCGTCCATTTATCAGATTTTTTTTTTATTTTTTTTTTTTATTTTTTTTTTCTTAATCTCTTCACAAACGAAAATATATATGATCGGAAACAAAAAATTAAATTATTCAAAATCTTAAACTAAAGTTTCCTTCCAAAAATCCATCAACATAAATTTCCAAATAAATTTTACTTCTACCCTTATCTCTCTCTCTCTCTCTCTCTCTCTCTTACTATTTTTATCTATCAGATTGGCCAATAAATGTGTAAGATATTTTTCTCTAATTATAATTAAAATTGAGAGAAAAATGTTCACGAAGTTATTGGCCAAATCAACGAAAAAAATTTTCTATCTAACACTCCTTCTCCTTTTTAATCATATATTCTCTCTCTCTCTCTCTCTCTCTCTCTCTCTTTCAATCTACTTCATTTCCCACCTTGAAATATCACATCATTTTAACTGGGCTCTGTTTTATCCGTGCTGCTCGGTCAGTATGTTCTGGAATCACTTCAACACAAGGTAAGAAAAAGTTGCAAGACGTCAAAGAATAAAAAAAAAGTAATTAAAAAACAAAAACAAAAAACATTAACAACAAAAATAAAAACAGAAAAAATAAAATGATTAAAAAAAAAAAAGAGTACTCGATTGAAAAGAACTCCATGAAAAAAAAAAAAAAACGTATAATTTTCAAAAATTACAAAAAGATTTATCAACGATAACGAAAAAAAAAAAATAATAATAATAAGAAAAAGAAAAGAAATCAACGAAAACAACAAAAAAACGAAAGACTTTTGCAAGATAAAAAAAAAAAAACAAATAAACAAACAAACAAACAAAAAATAAATAAATAAATAAATACAAAATATTACGTAGCGTTTTATAAGCGGTAATAGTTGCTGCTGCTGTTTGACGAATATTTTTTGTGCATTTCGTATCTCGTATGTAATACATATGTATATACATCCTGCATCCGAATCTAAAGAAAAATTGCACTCGGTAAACATATTTTTTTTATTAAAATAAACAACTTTACAAAAATTATTATCAAATATTTAATATTATACATTTAAAATATTATAATATAAATATATAATATATATTAAATTTATAAAATATATTATTATTAATTATATAAATTAAATATATAATATTAAAATATAATATATATTTATATATATTTTTAATTTATATATTAAAATATATAATATTATAATATTATAAATTAATTGTGTATATATAATATAATTTTTTTATAATATATGATTTATATAATAAAAATATTATTATTATATATATATAATATTAATATTATATAATAAAAAAATAATATTATAATATTATATAAATATAGAATATTAAATATATTATATATATATATATTTAAAGAGATAGACAAATAGTATTTAAATAAAATTAATTTGACAAATCATCCTAAGAAAATTCTTTAAAAAACACACACACAAAAAAGGAAAAAAAAACGAGTGCGATCTTTCGAAATTCACATGTTAAGAAAAAAAAAGAAAACCACCCCTTTCAAACCCCCTTTGTATCCTATTGTTAAATATATATATCTACACTCTATCTCGTTGCATGGTTCAGTTACCTTAATATTCCTACGTTGTGTTTCGTGCCTTTTACGTTGAGCTTCCGACTTTATGTTACTCGTATAAATATATATATATGTACGTTTTGTACGTATGTGTGAGATTAATGTGTATGTCTCTTTCTACTGGGGTGTATGTTAAATGTATGAATGCGAAATTGTATGAATGGTAATATATATATATATATATATGTATGTGCGTTTTTCTGTAAATATATATATATATATAAAAATATGATAAATATAATCGAAAAATATGTAACGTGGTATGCAGATTTCGAAGTATCTGTTATTTTTCTCTCTCTCTCTCTCTCTCTCTTTCTATTTCTCTCTCTCTCTCTCTCTCTCTCTCTCTCTCTCTCTATCTATCTATCTATCTCTCTCTTTCTTCTATTTCTATCTTTTTTTATATTTTTTTCTCTATCTTTCTTTATTCAGTGCAAAAGAGGCACTTTGATTAGAAAACAAAAATGGCTAACGTCAAGTGATATCTCATTGGAAGAAATATAAGCAAAATAGTTCGTAACACGAACGGGAGATGGCATTTTCTCTCGAGAAACCAACAACCCCCGTTGTGGTGCACACAAACGCTAAATTTTCTTACGAAATACTTTGTCAAAGTTATTTAATCTCTTATTGTATTTATATTCATATATTTTCTTATTTTTTCTTTTTTTTTACCTTCTTCTAAATATTATTATTATTAATAATATGATTTTATTTGTCTAACCCTTTCTTTCTCAATTTCATTCTCACTTTTTCTAAGCTGCCTTTAGAATTTTATACTGCCCCCCCCCCTTCTTTTTTCAATTATTCCTCTTTAGCACTGACAAGCAAGAAGAATATTTTAAAGTATCTAATATTATTATTATTATTATTATTATTATTATTATTATTATTATTATTATTATTATTATTATTATTATTACTTTTATTATTATGTATGAAAATTCGTAAGAATCGAGTCGAGTGTTTAAACAATGCATTGCGCGATGTGCACGGTGTATAATTTTAGCGATCTCGCGTCAAGGATCTTGTCGTTTTTTTAAATTATCTTATTATTATTATTATTATTAATTATTAATTATTAAAATATAGAAAATTAATTACGTTTATTTGATATTAAATAATATTAATATAACTCTGATTTAAATGTAAATAAATCTCGCATTATTTTCTAACTTTCATGTATAGCAATACTTAAATTTACTAACAATATTCGCGTATTTGTTTAAAAAAAAAAAAAAAATAAATAAATAAAAGAAAAAAAATGTGCACTAAATTAATTATTACAGCTAATAAACATTAAAATTAATTATTTCATTTAAATTAAAACAACGACAATATCCTTCGAACGTTCCTGTATCATCATTCACTTATTCACTTGAAAAAAAAAAAGAAAGTATTTAAAAAAAAAAAAAAAGGAAGAAAGAGAAGATGACAAATTAAACACTCTGTAGTAGAATTTGAAATTTAGAATTAGAACTTAGAGTCATGCTTTTTTATTAATGGTAGTGTAAGAAGGAAAGCACATTGAAAGAGTAATCACCATTAGTTTAGACGTATATTTTTTTTTTTTTGATAACTAGAATAATAGAAAAAAATATTAAAAATCGTTAACATTATTATTCTCTAATAGTCGGTCTGCAGTAATACGTGGTCGAGTTGTCACGCACCTTGGTACGGCACTAATGGGAGTACGCGTTAGCACGAGTACACCCTTGGAAGGGTTTACCTTGACGAGAGACGACGGTTGGTTCGATTTACTGGTGAACGGGGGTGGTGCAGTGACCTTGCAGTTTGGCAGGTCACCTTTCAGGGCTCAGAGTCATATTGTCTTTGTCCCATGGAATGAGGTAAGCAAATGATAAAGCAAAACAAATAATTTAAAATAAAATCCAACATAAATTTATGTATCTCTAACAAATTTCAATTGTAGATTGTAATAATTGACAAAATAGTCATGACTACGGCTGAAGAAAAACCATCGGTTCACGTACCCCACGCATGCGCGGCTCACGATTACGATTTGATGAAACCATTAGTGTTGGCTACGTGGAAACAAGGTTTTCAGGGTTCCTGTCCTGATAAAAGCGCCATCTTAACTGAATACCAAGCAATACAGGAAAGTTTACAAATACCTGGAACCGGTTTAAATCTTGTATATCACAGTTCGAGAGTGGGAGGTTATTTATCGACGATACAAGTCCAATTGACACCGGAAACTATACCACCTACGCTAAGTCTAGTACATCTGAGAATCTCGATCGAAGGTATCCTTTACGAGAGGACATTCGAGGCTGATCCTGTGATCAAGTATACTTATCCATGGAATCGATTGAACGTTTATCGTCAACGCGTTTATGGCGTTACCACTGCCATGGTTAAGGTTGGTTACGAGTACAGCGATTGCAAAGACATCATTTGGGATGTTCAAACCACTAAAATTAGCGGCCACGACATGGCAATATCCGACGTTGGCGGTTGGAATTTAGATATTCATCACAGATATAATTTCCATGAGGGTATTTTACAAAAGGGTGATGGTTCCAACATATATTTGAAGCACAAACCTAGGGTCATTCTTACTACCATGGGGGATGGCCATCAGAGACCTTTGGATTGTTACGATTGCGACGGGGAAGCTTGGAAACAACGTTTACTCGCACCGGTTGCACTTGCAACTGCACCGGACGGTTCCATTTACGTCGGTGACTTTAATTTGGTTAGGAAAATCTTGATAGATGGAACTGTCAAGACCGTACTTAGATTAAAGTAAGTATTAAAATTACGTCAGCATACGTATAAAGCATACAATTAAATATGAATATTTGTTAATAATAAATCTATTTGTTTACAGTGCTACAAGAGTCTCTTATCGATACCACATAGCTATAAGTCCCCTGGATGGTTACGTATACGTTTCGGATCCAGAATCTCATCAGATACTTCGTATACGTGATACTAACGATTACTCTGATCCAGATCACAATTGGGATACAGTTGTTGGATCCGGTGAACGTTGTCTTCCAGGTGACGAAGCACATTGCGGTGATAGTGCATTGGCTAGAGACGCAAAATTGGCTTATCCAAAAGGTGTGGCTGTATCGATTGACAACATTCTTTACTTTGCCGATGGTACAAATATCCGAATGGTTGATAGAGATGGAATAATAAGTACGGTGATAGGTAATCACATGCACAAATCACAATGGAAACCGATTCCTTGCGAGGGTACTTTAAACGTCGAGGAGGTTCATTTACGCTGGCCAACGGAATTAGCCATCAATCCACTTGACAATTCTTTGCACATGGTCGATGATCACATGGTACTTCAATTGGCTCCTGATGGTCGTGTCAGAGTTGTAGCTGGTCGTCCGTTACATTGTGCATCACCTTTGTCATCTTTTGACACGGAATTAGCCACTCATGCCACTTTGGTGATGCCTCAGAGTATAGCGTTCAGCCCATCTGGAGATCTCTACATAGCTGAGAGCGATTCTCAACGTATAAATCGTGTCAGAGTGATTGGTACGGATGGCAAGATTTCACCGTACGCTGGTGCCGAATCGAAATGCAATTGTCTCGAACGTGGTTGCGATTGTTTCGAAACCGATCATTATCTGGCATCCACTTCTAAATTCAACACCATATCGTCTATCGCTGTTTCACCCGATGGTGTCGTACATATCGGCGATCAGGCTAATTATAGGATACGATCGGTCACGGCAAGCATACCTGATGCCAGTGAGGCTAGGGAATATGAAATTTATTCCCCAGATACTCAAGAGATCTACGTGTTCAATAGATTCGGTCAACACATCTCTACGAAAAATATTTTAACCGGTGAAACGGTATATCTTTTCACTTACAACGTCAACAGCAGTAATGGCAAACTCAGTACCGTCACGGATGCGACTGGAAATAAAGTCTTCCTTTTACGCGACTACAGTAATCAAGTAACTTCCATTGAAAATACCAAAGGACAAAAGTGTAGATTAAGAATGACTAGGATGTGGATGTTACACGAGTTCAGTACACCGGATAATTATAACGTAACGTTCAATTACCACGGTCCAGCTGGACTTCTAGCCAACAAGCTTGACAGTACTGGACGCGGTTATGTATACGATTATGATGAATTTGGTAGATTGACAAGTGTTGTTACACCGACCGGTAAAATGACCAGTCTAACCTTTGATCTTAGTCTTAAAGGAGCTATCGTTAAAATAGGACAAAACAATAAGAAACCTGTTTCGATGTTGATCAAAGGTTCTTCAGTCGTTACGAAGGTTGGCGAAGCTGAACAAAGAACAACAGTACTTCCCGATGGTTCCGTCAGAATGGTTACACCATGGGCTCATACTGTTAGCACAGATACAATTCCTTATTCGGTTTTAGCCGAAATCGAACCACTTTTTGGCGAAAGTTATCCCATATTGGCTAAACAAAGAACTGAAATTGCCGGTGATTTGGCTAACAGATTCGAATGGCGTTATTTCTTGAGAAAAATACCTGGTAGCAGGAGTCGAAACAGAGCAGTTGCACAAGTTGGTCGTAAACTTCGTGTCAACGGTGAAATCTTACTCTCATTCGAATACGAGAGAGAGACCAATACCGTTGCCGTATTCATGGATGATCGAGTCGAACTATTAAACATAACCTACGATAGAACTTCCCGACCATTAAAGTGGGGTCCTTCAGATGACGTTTTTGCTGGAGTTGAATTAGAATATGATCGATTTAGCAGACTAACCAGTTGGACTTGGGGTGACATTACCGAAACTTATGGTTTTGACAGAGCTGGCAGATTATACGAAATTAAATACAGCGACGGTACTTCTATGGTTTATGCTTTCAAAGATATGTTCAGTAGTTTACCATTAAAAATTACAACACCACGTGGAAGTGATTATTTGTTGCAATACGACGAAGCTGGTGCACTTCAATCTCTTACAACACCAAGAGGACACATTCATGCATTTTCGCTTCAAACATCTCTCGGATTTTACAAGTACCAATATTATTCACCTATGAATAGACACCCCTATGAAATTTTATACAACGATGATGGACAAATACTTGCCAAGGTTTACCCGCATCAAAGTGGTAAAGTGGCATACGTTTACGATCATACAGGAAAATTGGAAACCACTTTAGCAGGTAAGCTTATACTAAATGACACCTGTATTCAATTTCGAAAAATCTAAATTTAAATAGAAACAAAATACTCAAGTTCGAATCCCAGTCACGTGGTAGTAAATTAAACCGAAATATGATCAAACTTCTTTTCTAATTTTCAGGTTTATCATCGATACATTACACATATCAAGAAACAACGAGTCTAGTTCGTAGCATTGACATCAACGAGCCTAATTTCGAGATGCGTATTGAATATAAGTATCACGCGGGAATAGTCAAAGATGAGAAAATCAAATTTGGAAGTAAAAGTGGTATGGACAATGCTCATTATCGTTATCAATACGATGGTAATGCTCGTATATCTGGAATAGAGGTTGACATCAATGGAAAACAACTACCCCAATTGCGATTGAAATACAATCAAAATCTCGGTGTATTGGAAGGAGTTGGTGATCTAAGAATTTATAGAAATGTATTTAACAGATCTGTCATGCAAGATAGTAGCAAACAATTTTTCACCGTCACCGATTATGACGATCACGGTCGAATTAAAACAGTTCTTATGAACATCAGATCATTGGACGTATTCAGAATGGAATTGGAATATGATAATAGAAATCGTATTAAAATGAGAAAATTGATGATCGGTAAGGAATCGTTGGAAAAGAAGGAATGGTCCAGAATGGATAAGATCACGTACAACGCTGATAGTCACGTACTCGAAGTAGCAGACACGGATAACAATTGGCAATATGCTTACGATGAGAACGGTAATATCGTTGGTGTTACTGAACACAATGAAAAGATTGTCTTGGGTTATGACAGCGGTGATCGAGTAGTTCAATATGGTGACGTTGAATTCAATTCGTACGATGCTCGAGGATTCGTTGTTATTCGAGGAGAACACAAATACAGGTAAAATTTCAAATAATACAAAATCATCTTCTATTCTCATAAGATTTAACATCATTCTAACATTTGGTACTGTTCCAACAGGTACAACTCGAGGGGTCAATTGATTCACGCATCGGAACATAAGAAATTCCAGATCTGGTACTTCTACGATGATCGTGGTAGGCTGGTATCTTGGAACGACGACAGGGAAAACATAACTCAATTCTTTTATGCTAATCCAAAAACACCGGATTTGATAACTCACGTACATTTCCCGAAATCATCGAAGACATTCCGATTCCTCTACGATCAAAGAGATTTCTTGATAACAGTTGAAACATCCGAGCAAAGGTTTTACGTAGCAACTGATCAAAATGGCTCACCTTTAGCACTGTTCGACACCAATGGAAATCTCATCAAGGAAATGCGTCGTACACCGTTCGGGAAGATCATCAAGGATACCAATCCAGATTTTTACTTGCCGATCGATTTCCATGGTGGATTATTCGATCCCAATACTAAATTGATTTACCTGAACAAAAGACTGTACGATCCAACCGTAGGACAATGGATGACAGCTGCATGGGAACAAATGGCCAACGAGTTGACAACCCCAACGGATATCTTCATCTATCGTTTCCGTAATAACGATCCCATCAATTTCAAACAGAACATCGAATACATGACAGATTTATCAAGTTGGCTTAAACTCTATGGTTATGATATATCTTCGATGTTGGGTTCCGAATACACGAAACAAATGGTTTATCAACCTAGCGCTACAATAACTTCGCCACAATTAACACCGGACTTTGGTGTAATGTCAGGATTACAATGCATCGTCAATCGTGTACACGAAAAGTTCTCAGATTTAGGTTTCGTACCAAAACCATTATTAAAATTGGAACCCAAAACTAGGAATCTTTTGCCACGTGTAGCACACCGTCGTGCAGTATTTGGTGAAGGAATCTTAGTATCTAGAATAGGTGGTAGAGCATTGGTTAGCGTAGTGGATGGTGTTAACACGGTAGTACAAGACGTTGTAACGTCAGTTTTCAACAATTCTTATTTCTTACCTTTACACTTCAGCGTTCACGATCAGGACGTGTTTTATTTCGTCAAAGACAATGCATTGAAGATACGAGACGACATGGAAGAACTTCAACGATTAGGTGGAATGTTCAACGTGTCAACACACGAAACAACAGAACACGGTGCAGGAACTTGGAAAGAACTGAGATTGCACAATCCCGATGCTGCAGTTGTCATTAAATACGGTGCCGATCCTGAACAAGAAAGACACAGGATATTAAAACACGCTCACAAACGTGCAGTTGAAAGAGCATGGGAAATAGAAAAGCAATTAGTTATGGCAGGTTTTCAAGGTAGAGGTGATTGGTCGAAAGAAGAAAAGGATGAGCTTTTGAATCGTGGTACTGTAGATGGTTACGAAGGTGTCGACATTCACAGTGTACACAGGTATCCACAATTGGCCGATGATCCTGGCAACGTTGCCTTCACTCGGGATACCAAAAGGAAAAGACGAAAGAGCGGCAACAGACGTAGCAGAAGTCACAGACACGATTCATGATTCGAAAGGACTACGAGTGTTCGGGAAATCCTTTGGAACTTGATTCGCGTGCCAGCGTGAATCTAAATGATTATTATTATTATTATTAAATTTCTTTTTTTTCTAATTTTTTTTTTTTCTATTATTCTCAAATATGAGATTTCAAATAGTGTGTGTGGTGGCAAATTAATGAAAATAGATTATAATGTTAATACTACTATTATTATTAATACTCGAGATGATATTTTATCTATCTCGCTATCTCTTCTCAACGCACTCGAACTTAGAAGAGGAGGTGGAGGAGGAGGAGGAGGAGGTGGAGGTGGAAGTGAAAGAAAAAAATGCAAATAAAAAATATGAACGATAGTGAATAGAGATTAATTTTTGAACGAATCGAAATGAAAATGGGATTTAAGGATTATTTATTATAATCCTTTACTTATCCCCACCCTCAACCCCCAGAAAAAAAAAAGAAAATGTCTTCAACAAGTTAGGGTTAATTAATTAATTCATTAATTAATTATATTAACTTATAATCTATGAGAAAAGAAAAGAAAAGAAAAGAAAAAGAATGAAATGGAAAAAGATAAACAAGCACGTTAACAAATTTGTATTCTTTATACGATTATTGTTCTCTTCTCGTTGCTGTTAATGACACAAATTCTCATTTTGAAAATAATAATAATGATAATGATAATTAATAATAATAAATAATTAATAATAAAATATTGATAACGAAAAGAAAAGAGATGGGATATTATTGTGTACAGTTTTGATCGTGGTTGAAGATGATTGTCTCTTTTTGTTTTTTTATTCTCTTGTTGTTTTTTTGTGTCTTTTTTATTTTTTTCTATCTTTTATTTTTTTTTTTTTTTTCAAATCGAACGAAGCGTTACGCATATACTTTCAAGGTGCCGTCCGTGAGGAATGAATAAAAATATTTACGAGTGCGTGGTAAAGAGATCAGTGATGATGATGATGATGATGATGATGATGATGATGATGATGATGATGATGATGATAAGAATTAAATTGATAAAAATGAACGAAAATTAAAACAATAAAATCATTTCGCAAAATAAATAAAAAAAAAAAAACGAACAAACAAACAAATAATTAATTAACGTCGACGATCGCGTTTTAAAACAAATTTCGATGGTGTTTCCTATGTGTCTGTCATCCTACAGGATTTTTAAAAATGCATGTAAACAAAAATAACACGTGTTGTGTACTACACACCCTCCCCCCCCCTCCCCCCTCGCCCCTCACTCACAAATTATTCCGACGTATGTATTAGTTTTTAAATCGCGATAAAGACACTTTTGTGTGTGTGTGTTCGTCCGATGATTTAAAAAAGAAATGAAAAAATAAAAAAAAAACAAAAAGATGGAAGATTACAAAAAATTTAACAAACGAACTGACAAACGATGACGATGAATAGAATTGATGAAAGGTGGAATTTAAATTAAAAAAAAAAAAAAAAAGTAAACAACAAGATATGAAAATTAAATGGAAGTAAAGAAAAAAAAGAAAAAAAAGATACTACCACTGACGTCACATTACGAACGTCAAATATTTTTAACATGGCGTAATATATACTAATAATAATAATAATAATAATTATGTGTATTAGAAAAAGAAAGAAACAGACAGAAAGAGAATGAGAGAGAACAGAGAGACAGACAGATAAATGCGGAAAAATTGTAAATAATGGCTAATTAATTAATAATTAATTAATTAAATTAATGGTAATAAATGTAGATAATATTATACATATGAACATATACATATATATATATATACATATATATATTGCGTATCTCGAACGCGGATTATGCCCGGTTTCACGTTCTTTTATTTCTTATTTTCCTTTTTTTTTCTTTCCTTTNGTTTTTTTTTTTTTTTTTTTTTTTTGTAATTCATCAAAACCAAAATGGAACTGTCGATAAGGAAGAAAGGAAGGAAAAAGAAACGAAGGAGGAATAAAAATAAGAATGCTTTTTTATATGTACTCGCGCGAATAAAAAAAAATAATGAAATAAAACACACACACACACGCACAGAGACACACACACACTAGTACCGCAATTCGGGCCGAAATGTGACGGAAAAAAAAATGTAATACCGGAATTTACAGAATAATAATAATAATAAAACAAGTGGAATTGTGTAAAACGATAATTAAAATGAAAACAAAAAAAAAGAAACAAATAAAATGATAGATTAAAAATCGTTTTTGAAAATTTGATAAAATAAAAACGATTTTATATAATCTACACCACCTACACACACACAAACCGGGTCCGCAACTCGTATCGTAACCCGTCAGGCATGCGTTCCCGTCTCGTAAAAGAAAAAAAAAAAAAAGGGGAAAAAAAAACAACCGTTTCAAAAGGTTAAGTCTCTAATAAAGTGCAGAAAAAAAAAAAAAAAGAAAAACAACATTTTAAGTGTTTTCACTTAAAATTCGTCGTTATTTAAAACATGTAAATAATTTCTATAGTTAATAATAACGGAAAATAAGTTAAGTATTATGATAGAAAAATAATCATTGTATGAGATGATCGTTCTCTTTTTTTTACAATTAAAACACGAGTTCCCTTCTCAGTAACGTCATAAAGGTTGATGGGTAAGAATTGGGGGGTTGGAGGTGTAGGGATAACGAAAGGGGTAGAAGGGGACACGTTTAAGATGATAAAATATTGTCCAGGAGAAATGAAATAAATATATTATTAAAATTATGCTAATTAATAATAATTAAATAATAATAATAATAATAATGATAATGATAATGAGATGATGATGATGATGATGAATAAGTATAATAATAAAATGATATGATATAGTAAGGATAATAATGAGGATTAGAATAATAAGAATAATAAAAATAGAAATAAGAAATAATAATAATAATAATAATAATAATAATAATAATAATAAGAATGATAGTGATAAAAGTCAGATCTGATAAAAGTTAATATTATAATAACTATTATTATATGAAAATACCCTGCCTATCTTTCTACTAAAAATGAGAAATTATTTTTTGAATTGTGTCGTCGAAGAAGTCCTGTGTAGTCGTCCCCCACGTCAGAGTGTGTGTTAGTGGGATCGTCCTTCCTTTTTCCCCCCTTAACCTTACCCATTCCACCCCTACCTTACCCTTATATATATAAAACAATTTGTCCTAGTTCCAATCCATCAAAACCTTTTGCAAAAATCCTTCATTGTTAGAACAAAACATTTATCCACTGTTTCCTTTCCCATCAACCACCCCACCCCATCCCATCCCATCCCATCCCTGTCCCGCCCCACTCAAAATGAAAAAAAGAAAGAAATAAATATGATTAAATAATAATAATATTAATAATAATAATAATAATAATAATAATAATAATAATAATAATAATAATATTAATGAAACACATACAAAAACACACACGTACATATGTACTACTACTTTGTAAAAGATATTAGCTGAACATTGTCGGTGTTTATCAAGTATCGAGTAATGAAGTTTGAAGAATAAAGAAAAGAAAAAAAGTAATATTATAAAATAATACAAAAGAAAATGAAGTAAAAAAAAATAAAATAAAATAAAATAAAATGAACGTATAATAAACGTAGCTCGATGACTCCGTGATTTTGATCAAATGAAATGAAAAAAAAAAAAAAAATAAAATAAAGAAATGTAACTGAGCATAATAGAAAGTAAAGAAAAGAGAAAAATAACATAAAATAAAATGAAAGGGAAAAAAAAAAGTATTACTGCATAATATGTATAATTGTAATAGAAGAAAGAAAATGGTGGAAAGAGAAAAAAAGTGAGAGAGAGAGAGAGAGAGAGAGAAAGAAAGAAAGAAAGAAAAAAAATTGCAACGAGCCAACGTGCTAGTGTGCCACGTTGTGTTCTCCACGTAGGTGTATTATAATAATATTAATAATAATATTAAAATAATAATAATATAATAATAATAATAATAATAATAATAATAATAAACTAAATAAATAATTAAACAAAATGAAAAAAAGTATACATAATCATAAAATTGCAGCGTACGTAACTATAATAATAAATAGTTTGACGAGTCAACGTGAAATGGTGAAAACGATTTAGTGAGCAATTTACATTAACAAAATAAAATAATAAAAAGAAAAAAAAAAGAAAAAGGTAAACAAATTAATACGCGAAGAAAGAATGAAAGAAGGATGAAAAAATGAGGAGTATGCCTAATGAACCTTAATAAAAAAAAAAAAAAAATGAAATGAAATGAAATGATACGCCCATTGTACATATCCGTTGTGCATAGACAGAATGCCGGTAAAAATATCTTTTGCATCTTAAGAAAAGAAAAGAAAAAAAAAAAGAAAGAATGAAAATATTAAAAAATTAAGAAAGAATGAAAACGTAAGATTAAATTTTTTTAAACGACGAAAGATCATGCAAGCGAACCTAACAACAAAAATGGAGACTTAATTTAACACTAAACTTATCGCAGGACCAATCGAATGACCGGTTTAAAAAATTCTAAAATTTAATGTAATTATTTCAAATATTTTACATTTTTTAGACTTTTATTTTAATAATTATTAATTTATATTTATATTATTTTATTCTTATTACTATTATTATTATTATTATTGTTATTATTATTATTATTGTTGATATTATTGTAATTGTTAGTATTAATATTATTATTATCATTATTATTATTATTATTATTATTATTATTATTTTTAAATATAAATTGTTTTATTTATTATTTAAGCCAGTACCAAATTAATTGTGCTATTATTTGCATTTATTTATAAAAAAAAATAGAAGGAGATATAACTTTTGTTAAAGATCGGTCAATTGACCGGTTACGATATAATTGTGTATACATAAATATTTTAGTTTTAGATATCACGACCGGTCAAATGACTGGTGTTTAATTTTAATTTTAATACTTATTAATTTTTTTTTTTTATTATTATTATTATTATTTCATCGAATGTTATTACCTTTTTATTCGTTTGACACATTACTTTTTATAATTATAATTATAAATATTATTTTATTATTACACACGAATATATTTTGTTTTATTTATTATTTATACCATAATAATATCAATTTGATTTTTACCATTAAAAAATTGCATTCCCCCATAAACTTTTTTTAAAAACCGTATCGTTCGACCAGTAACGATTGAAAAAAAAAAAGAAAAAAAAAATACTGTTGGTAGGTTTGGCGTTAAATGAGAAACCTAAAAGAAAAAAAGAAAAAGACATTTTACTTTTTCAAAAATCTCTATTTTATCGAATTTGTAATACGCCCCCTAGGATCGTTGTGATTTTTCGTCGTTCTTTTTTTTTTGTATTCTACAAAATTCGTTTAATTTATTCAATTTATTCATAATTTTGTTCTTCATATATTCAATCGATAAAAATCACAAACAAAAGTTACATATTTACATGCGTAAACGTATT